TAGGATATTGGAAATGGCCTGGAGCTTTAGAGCTCTTGTGTGTGAACGCGGGGTTAGGAAGAGAGATGAACACTCGATGACTTATAAGAGCGGGGGGAAACTGCAGGCAGATCGATTTGTATCTTGGCGCAACAGAGTAACAGGGAACATGTGTATAAGGTGTGAGGGATGAAGGAGGAAATGTTGGGGGTGTACGGAGAGGTCTACGAAGACAAAGGGAGGTGCAGGAGATTGAAGAAATGACAGGAGAAGTAAAGGTAATGAAGATACTATTCCTATCGGCAGAAGAGGTGTGTGGCATAACCGAAGTAGGGAGACCACGGGAAAAATAACTTGGCGATGGAAAGAGGTGTGAGGTGTTGTTGCGAGGAAGAAAAGGTTTTTGAAAAGATTGGAAAGAAAAGGAGATGGGAAGTGGTACAGAAGCCGTATGACAACCAGCAGACACCATCTACAGTGCAAAATTAAGTAGAAAACACCACATAAGGGGAAGTAACATTAAAAGTTGGCGGAAAGAGTATTTCTAAAATTTTCTGACGGTGGAGAACAAGAGACACAATTACAGAAATGGTGGCAACACAGGAATCATTGATGGACATCTAGAAGGAGGTGTGTAGATGGCCCTCGATAGGATAAAGAGAGGGAAGGTTTGTAGACCATCGGAAGTAACAGTGGAGTTGATGAAAACGTTGGAGGATGAGAGGGTGGAGAGGCTGTTGGCTTTGTTCAAGAAAACGTGGAGCGATGAGATGACACCGGAGGACTGGAGGGAAAGTGTGTGATAGTGGCAGTGTAGGCAGAAGGATAACATCACGGACTGTGGAATCTAAAAGAGGATTAAACTGATGGAACATATAAACATTATGAGGGTACTGGTACAGGTAGTGGAGCAGTGGTTGAGGGACATATTACAGTACTATAATGAGGTACAGCGGTGCAACATAAAAAAGAGAACACTAGATGATGACTGTCATGTGTCAAACCCAAGAGAAGAGTTTGGAAGGAAATAGCAAACTGTATGTCCTTGTGTGGATCTAGGGAAGGTATGCTGTATGTGGCAGAGGTGTGAGAGGAGTGAAATGGTGCCCTATGAGACACAAGGAGGCGCCAGAAAAAATGGCAAAGGTGATGGCGGAGGTGTTATAATGAGGCAAAAACTACAGTGAGGACTATTACTGAGGCTCACTGTAATTTGAAGTGTGAGTTGCTCTACGTCAAGGCTCAATGTTAAGGCTCTTTTACTCTTCGTGAGTAACAGTGAAAATGAAGGAGCAGGTGCAAAGTAGAGTGTTACAGCGGCAGGAGAGTTTTTAGAGCTAGGGACTGAATGTAAATGCTGGGAAGACAGAGTTAACTGAGTATCAAAACAGACAGGATGCGATCATAGCTAAGGGCAGGAGAAATATGGGAGTGATATTTAGACTCGGTGTAGAAGGTAGAGGCAAGCTGTGATGATGAAGTGAGGTCTAGGTGAGGCCAGATCAGGTGAACTGGAGGGAGGCTGAAATTACTTGTGACACTTGGGTGTTAACTAAACTGAAGACATGAAAGACAGACGTTGGTGTATGGAGCAGAGACTCGGGTATTAGAGGAGGAGGAGTTGAAGAGAATTGGAGGAGGATGTTGGGGAGGGTATTTGAGGAGGGTGTTGGGAGAATTTTGGATGAGGGTGTTGGAGAAGGGAGTTGGAGAAGGGTGTTTGAGGAGGGTGTTGGTGAGGTTGTTGGAGGAGGGTGTTGGAGGAGGGTGTTGGGAGGGTTTTGGATGAGGGTGTTGGAGGAGGGGGTTGTTGGATGAGGAGGTGTTGGGAGGTTTGGATGAGGTGTTGGAGGAGGTGTTGGAGGAGGGTGTTTGAGGTGTTGGGAGGGTTTGGATGAGGGTGTTGGAGGGAGGGTGTTGGAGGAGGGTGTTGGAGGTGTTGGGAGGTTTTGGATGAGGTGTTGGAGGGGTGTTTGAGGAGGGTGTTGGGAGGGTTTGGATGAGGGTGTTGGAGGAGGGTGTTGGAGGAGGCGTTTGAGGGTGTTGTTTTGGATGAGTGTTGGAGGAGGGTGTTGGAGGAGGTGTTTGAGGAGGGTGTTGGGAAGGTTTTGGATGAGGGTGTTGGAGGAGGGTGTTGGAGGAGGGTGTTTGAGGAGGTGTTGAGGAGGTTTGGATGAGGTGTTTTGAGGAGGGTGTTGGGAGGGTTTTGGATGAGGGTGTTGGAGGAGGGTGTTGGAGGAGGGCGTTTGAGGAGGGTGTTGGGAGGGTTTTGGATGAGGGTGTTGGAGAAGGGTGTTTGAGGAGGGTGTTGGTGAGGGTGTTGGTGAGGGTGTTGGAGGAGGGTGTTGGGAGCGTCAGTTTGAGACTTTATACTTCAATAACAAACTACTTTTATTAGGTTATATTTTTCAGTAAAAATATACTTATTCGTACTGTTATATTCAGTAGAATATAGTTTTTCAATGAATGTCTTCTGACTTTTATTTTGGTTCAGATGTAAAAATACGTGTCTTTATGTATTCTCTAAAGTAAACCCGTTGTTTTCATTTTAAACTACAGTTACAAAAGTCAAGTTTTTCATTTTTGGCATCCGTAAAAAACCGTTTTCGTTTTATGCCTAAAAAAGAAAAGAAAAAAAAATAATTTTTTCATTTTCTGCTTTTAGAAAAACAACCATTTTTTTCTGTTTTATTCTCCTGTAAAAACTAATTCTAATTTTATGCTTCCGTAACATAATGATTTTACGCTTCAATGAACTTTATTTTCATTTTGTTCATTCGATTTTTCATTTAATGCTTCTGTTTCGGAAAATTTTTCTTTTTGTTTCTCACATTTCATGCTACAGTAAAATTCATTTGTCCTAAGAAAAACTGGTTATTTATTTTTTCTAAATGAATTAGCATAATGATGATGTCATGAAGGAGGCCACGCCCTTCCTCCTCTTACTCCACCTAATGCCACACGGCGCAAGCGGCTTACTTTTTTTTTTAAACAATTTGAGCGGCTTACCTGAGTATAAAAAAGGGACTTTGTGCGCCGGCCATTAGTCCAGTGCTCCGCGGCGCTACCTCCACTGTCAATAATTTACAACCCCCCTTCTCCCTCTCCCCTTCCCCTCTCCCATCGCCCCTCCGCCTCCCCCTCCCCCCAGATGCTCAAAGCTTATTTGTTGTTTAATGGTCGTGGGGGGTGTGGAGGGAGGGGAGGGTTAAAGGTTGGGACGGTGAGGAGTGATGAGAGAGAGAGAGAGAGGAGGGGGTCATGGAAGGGGTCGTGGTAGTGGTGGGGATCGTCGTGGAAGCAGTCGTGATAATGGTAGGGGTCGTTAGTGGGGGTAGTTCAGTATGGGGTCATTAGTAGGAGTCGTTAGCAGGGGTCGTTGCAGGGGGTCAGGGAAGGGATCGGAACGCAGCTCATGGATGGGGTGGTCTGGTATGGGTGTTGTTGGCAATTCGTAGCAGAAACCCTATAAAAAAATGGATGGGCAGGTCGTCATACAGGTCGTACCACCACAACAAAGGCCAGAGTGTCGGTAGGAGAGATAGCCCAGTCATTCATCTTTCCTAGTTGACAACGAAAGGAAGAAAATTTGGTGAGGCCAAAAATTGTCAATAAACTCACCTTAAAACATCACTGATCTAACTTAAGGAATGACTAAGTTAGATACAGAAGGTTTTACCATTTAAATTGAAGAGTTTTTGTATCAGTTTCTCTCTGACAGTAATTAGAAATTCATGAAAAGCGACGAATAATTACAATTTATGGTGATGGGATGCATTTGATGTGTCTATACAGAGTTTCTAATATTTCACATATGTCTGGGACTCATTCACGTTAAAGCGTCATCATCTGGAGTCAGTTCATCCCCAACTGGAGACCTTGAGTAAGTGAATGTTGAGGAAAAACAAAAAAGAAACAGAAAAATCCTGCCTGATCTGACCCGGGTTGTGACTGAGACTCGTGTTGGAGGAAACATTCAGCGTTCCAGATTCGTCCTCTGGAAACAGTTTCCTTCCGGCTGGTAGTCTGGAAGATATAAAATTGAACGCAGACTTAAATTTACTTTCCAGAAATCAGATTACGCATTCATTAAAGGAAGAGAAGATAATAGAAAAATTGAAAAAAAGTAGATATGGAAGACCAAGAGAAATTAAACAGAAAGAAAAGCTAAAGTGAAAAAAAAATAAAACAAAAAATAACATTAAAAAAGCTTAGAAAAAAGAAGGAAAATAAATAGGTGATAACAAAGAACAGGAAAATTAAAGATGATGATGAAAAATAAGAGAAGCGAGAAGGAGAAGAATAAGAAACAAAGAGACGTGAGTGTTCAGTCAGTCTCCGCTAAAGTCTCTCGGGGAGACATAAGCCACTGATTAGGTTTTCTTCACTTGCTCTGTAGCTCTGCCTCCCTGAGATGTATAGCACCATTAAGGTGTTCCACTGATCCAATTCAGTTAACAAAAAATAGTTCAAAGGGCAAAGGTCAATAATGTGCTAGTCTCTCTCTCTCTCTCTCTCTCTCTCTCTCTCTCTCTCTCTCTCTCTCTCATCTCGACTGGATTATTAACTTGATAATGTTGGTAATTATTACAGTAAAAAGTAGCAATAATTCCCCATTATGAGACCTAGTAAACAGAATAATAATTTAGTAATCTCGCGCCGTAAAAGCTGAGGAGGATTTTAAATTATTAAATACCTGAGTGTCTACTTAATTTAGAAACTGTGAGCTGCCACAAATATGGTGAATGCTACTCTGTTTATTTACTTATTCATGGACTCACTTTTATGAGTATACCTGGAGCTGAGGTGGAGGTGGAGGGAGAGGGTAGGTGGAGTTGGGAGGGAGAGGTGGGTGGGTGAGGGGTGGAGGTAGAGTGGCGGTGGGAGAGGCAGGAGGTGGGAGGAGAGGGTGGTGGAGTTGGGAGGGAGAGGGTAGGGGTGGCGGTGGAGGGTGAGGTAGAGTGGCGGTGGAGGAGAGTGGCAGATGTGGTGGGAGGGGTGGGTGGGAGGGAGAGGGTAGGTGGAGGTGGAGGGAGAGGAGGTGGAGAGGGAGGTGGAGGAGGGAGGGAGGGTGGTAGGGGAGGTGGAGGGAGAGGGTAGGTGGAGGTGGGAGAGGGGTGGAGGTGGGAGGGAGAGGGTAGGGTGGGAGGGAGGAGAGGGTGGAGGTGGTGGGGGAGAGGGTAGGGGTGGGAGGGGAGGGAGAGGTAGGTGGGTGGTGGGAGGGAGAGGGGGAGGTGGGAGGGAGAGGTAGGGGTGGTGGAGGGGAAGGGGGAGGGGTGGGAGGAGGAGGGGAGGTGGGAGGGAGAGGTAGGGAGGTGGGAGGGAGGTAGGGGTGGTGGTGGGAGGGGAGAGGGGGAGGGGGAGGGAGAGGCAGGTGGAGGGAGGGAGAGGGGTGGAGGTGGAGGAGGGGGGTGGGTGGGAGGGAGAGGGTAGGTGGGAGGGAGAGGGAAGGGGAGGGAGGGAGAGGTGGAGGAGAGGGAGAGGGTAGGTGGGAGGTGGAGGGAGAGAGTAGGTGGAGGGAGAGGGAGGGGTGGCAGGAGGGAGAGGGTAGGTGGCGGTGGAGGGAGGGAGGTGGAGAGAGAGGTAGGTGGGGGAGGGGAGGGGTGGGTGGGAGGGAGAGGGGTAGGGAGGTGGGAGAGGTAGGGGTGGAGGTGGGAGGGAGAGGGTAGGTGGGAGGGGAGAGGGGGTGGGAGGTGGAGAGGGAGAGGGTAGGTGGTGGGGGGAGGGAGAGGGTAGGGAGGGGGTGGGAGGGAGAGGTGGGAGAGGGGAGGTGGGAGGTGGGAGGGAGAGGTGGGTGGTGGGAGGTGAGGTGGGAGGGAGGGGTGGAGGTGAGGAGAGGGTAGGTGGCGGTGGAGAGGGAGACGGTAGGTGGGAGGGAGGTAGAGGGTAGGTGGAGGTGGGAGGGAGGTAGGTGGAGGTGGGAGGGAGAGGGTAGGGGAGGTGGAGGGGAGGTGGGTGGCGGTGGGAGGGAGAGGGGGTGGGAGGTGGGAGGAGAGGGAGTGGTGGTGGAGGAGAGGGAGGGGAGGAGGGAGGGGAGGTGGAGGGAGGGGTAGGGTGGAGGGGAGGGAGAGGGGGTGGAGGGGAGGGGGAGGGGTAGGGGTGGGAGAGGGGTGGGAGGTGGGAGGGAGAGGGTAGGTGGTGGGAGGGAGAGGTAGGGTGGGTGGGAGAGGGGGTGGAGGGGAGGGAGGGGTGGGTGGAGGGGAGGGGGGTGGGTGGGAGGGAGAGGGTAGGTGGAGGGAGGGAGGTGGGGAGAGGTAGGTGGGAGGGGAGGGAGAGGGGTAGGTGGAGGGGAGAGGGAAGGGGGAGGTGGGAGGGAGAGAGTAGGTGAGGGAGGGAGAGGTGGGGTGGGGAGGTAGGAGGGGAGGGAGGGGAGAGGGTGGAGGTGGGAGGGAGGGGTAGGGAGGGAGGTGGAGGGGAGAGGGTAGGGTGGCGGTGGAGGAGAGGGTAGGGGTGGTGGTGGGAGGGAGAGGTAGGGGTGGGAGGTGGGGAGGGAGAGGGTAGGGGTGGGAGGGAGAGGGAGAGGGTAGGGGTGGGTGGGAGGGAGAGGTAGGGAGGGGGAGGGGAGAGGGTAGATGGAGGTGGAGGGGAGAGGGGTGGGGGGGGAGGGAGAGGGTGGGGAGGGGAGAGGGGAAGGGGGAGGGGAGGGAGAGAGTAGGGGGAGGGAGAGGGAGAGGGTAGGGGGAGGTGGGAGGGAGAGAGTGAGGTGGAGGGAGAGGGAGAGGGTGGGTGGGAGGTGGGAGGGAGAGGGTAGGAGTGGAGGGAGAGGTAGGTAGTGGGGGAGGGAGAGGGTAGGTGGGAGGTGGGAGGGAGAGGGTAGGGGTGGCGGGAAGAGGTAGGTGGAGGTGGAGGGAGGTAGGTGGGTGGTGGAGGGAGAGGTAGGGTGGCGGTGGAGGAGGGGTGGTGGAGGGAGAGGGGTAGGGGGGAGGTGGAGGAGAGGTAGGTGGCGGTGGAGGAGGGTAGGGGTGGCGGTGGGAGGAGAGGGTAGGGGTATGGGAGGTGGAGGGAGGGGAGGTGGGAGGGGGAGGGAGGGGTGGCGGGGGAGGGAGAGGGTAGGGTGGGTGGGTGGAGGGAGGGAGGTGGTGGGAGGTGGGAGGGAGGGTGGATGGGAGGAGAGGTAGGTGGGTGGAGGGGGTAGGGGTGGGAGGGAGAGGGAGGAGGTGGAGGGGAGGGTAGGGGTGGGTGTGGGAGGGAGAGAGGTGGTGGGGAGGGAGAGGTAGGGGTGGGAGGGAGGGAGAGGGGTGGGTGGGGGAGGGAGAGGGTAGGTGGAGGGAGAGGTGGGAGGTGGGAGGAGGGTGTGAGAGGGAGAGAGGGGTAGGGGTGGGGGGAGGGAGAGGGTAGGAGGAGGGAGGGAGAGGGTAGGGGAGGTGGGAGGGGAGAGGGAGGTGGAGGGAGGAGAGGTAGGGTGGAGGTGGGAGGAGAGGGGTAGGTGGCAGGGGAGGGAGAGGTAGGTGGGAGGTGGGAGGGGAGAGGGTAGGTGGTGGGTGGAGGAGAGGTAGGGGTGGCGGTGGAGGGAAGGGTAGGGTGGTGGTGGGAGGGAGAGGGCAGGGTGGGTGGGAGGGAGAGGGTAGGGGGAGGGAGGGAGAGAGGTAGGGGTGGGTGGAGGGGAGGGTAGGGGTGGAGGTGGGAGGGGAGAGGGTGGGGGTGGTGGGAGGGAGGTGGGGTGGGAGGAGGGAGGGAGAGGGGGAAAGGGAGGGAGAGGGGTGGGTGGGGAGGTGGTGGGAGGTAGGTGGGAGGGGAGGGGGGGAGGTGGGAGGAGAGGAGTGGTGGGAGGGAGAGGTAGGGGAGTGTGGGAGGGAGGGGGTGGGGTGGGAGGTGGGAGAGGGAGATAGGGGGTGGGAGGGAGAGGGGAGGTGGGAGGAGAGGGTGGGTGGGAGGTGGGAGGGAGAGGGGTGGGAGGTGGGAGGAGAGGGTAGGTGGGAGGGAGGGAGAGGTGGGAGTGGAGGTGGAGGGAAGGTAGGTGGGAGGTGGGAGGGAGAGGTAGGGGTGGCGGTGGAGGGAGAGGTGGGAGGGAGGGAGAGGGTAGAGGCGGTGGAGGGAAGGGAGGTGGGAGGTGGGAGGGAGAGGTAGGGGTGGATGGGAGGGAGAGGATGGGAGGTGGGAGGGAGAGGGTAGGGGTGGGGGGGGAGGGAGAGGGTGGGGAGGTGGGGAGGGAGAGGGGGGAGGTGGGAGGGAGAGGGTAGGGGTGGGGGAGGTGGGAGGGAGAGGTGGGGTGGGGGGGGGAGGGGAGAGGTAGGTGGGAGGGAGAGGAAGGGGGAGGGAGGGAGAGAGAGTAGGTGGGGAGGGAGAGGGTAGGTGGAGGGAGGGAGGAGAGGGAGGGAGGGGAGAGGTAGGTGGGGGAGGGAGAGGTGGCGGGTGGGAGGGGGAGGGTGGGTGGGAGAGAGGGGTGGGAGGGAGAGGGTAGGGGAGGTGGGAGGGAGAGGGAGGTGGGAGGTGGGAGAGGGAGAGGGTAGGGTGGAGGTGGGAGGGAGAGGGTAGGGGTGGGAGGGAGAGGGAGGTGGGAGGTGGAGGGAGAGAGGGAGGTGGAGGTGGGAGGGAGAGGGTAGGTGGAGAGGGAGAGGGTAGGGGTGGGGGTGGAGGGAGAGGGTAGGTGGTGTAGGGGAGGGAGGTGAGGTGGGAGAGGGGGAGGGAGGTGGGTGTGGAGAGGGGTAGGGAGGGGAGGGGGAGGTGGTGGAGGGGGAGGGAGAAGGGAGGGGGAGAGGGAGATTGTGGGTGGAGGTGGGAGTGAGGGGAGGGTGGAGGGAGAGGGGTAGGGGTGGTGGGGGAGGGGAGAGGGGGGAGGGGAGGGGGAGGGTAGGTGGGTGAGGGAGAGGGGGTGGGAGGTGGGAGGGGAGAGGGGTGGGTGGGGGTAGGTGGAGGGAGGGAGGTGGAGGTGAAGGAGAGGGGGGTGGGAGGTGGGAGGGGGTGGGGGAGAGGGGAGAGGGTATGTGGGAGGTGGGAGGGGGAGGGGGGAGGGAGAGGGAGAGGGTGGGGTGGTGGGAGGGGAGGGGGTAGGGGTGGAAGTGTGGGAGGGAGAGGGTGGGTGGGAGGGGAGGGAGAGGTAGAGGTTGAGGTGGGAGAGGAGAGGGTAGGTGGCGGTGGGAGGGAGAGGGTAGGTGGGAGGTGGAGGGAGAGGGTGTGGAGGGGGAGGGAGAGGGGTGGAGTGGGTGGTGGGAGGGAGAGGGTAGGTGGGAGGGAGAGGGAGGGGGGGAGGGGGAGGGAGAGAGTAGGTGTGAGGGAGAGGGAGAGGGTGGGGGGAGGGGAGGAGAGATGGGGAGGGAGGGGGAGAGGGGGGAGGTGGAGGGAGAGGGTGGGAGGTGGGTGGGAGAAGGGGGAGGAGAGGTAGGGAGGGGAGGGAGAGGGTAGGGGTGGGTGGGTGGAGGAGAGGGGTGGGTGGGAGGTGGGAGAGGGGTAGGTGGGTGGGAGGGAGAGGGTGGGTGGGAAGGTGGGTGGGAGAGGGAGGTGGAGGGAGGGGAGTGGTAGGTGGAAGGTGGGTGGGAGATGGGGTGGTGGGAGGGAGAGGTGGGTGGCGGGGGGAGGGAGAGGGGTGGGAGGGAGGGTAGGTGGAGGTGTGAGGGAGAGGGAAGGGGTGGTGGAGGGTGAGGTAGGTGGTGGTGGGAGGGAGAGGGTGGGGAGGAGGGGAGAAAGGCGGTGGAGGGAGAGGATGTGGCGGGGGAGGGAGAGGAGGGGTGGTGGGTGGAGGGGTAAGGGAGGGGGTGGGAGGGAGAGGGGTAGGATGGTGGAGGGAGAGGGTAGGTGGTGGGAGGGAGGAGGTAGGTGGGTGGGAGGGAGAGGGTAGGGGTGGTGGTGGGAGGGAGAGGGGTAGGAGGTGGGAGGGAGAGGGGGTGGGTTGGAGGGGAGAGGGGTGGGTGGTGGGAGGGAGGTGGGGATGGTGGGGAGGGAGAGGGTGGGTGGGAGGTGGGTGGGAGGTGGGTGGAGGTGGGAGGGAGGTGGGGTGGGGTGGGAGGGAGTGGGGTAGTGGTGGGAGGAGGGAGAGGGGTAGGTGGAGGGAGGGAGATGGGGTGGTGGTGGAGGAGAGGGGTGTGGTGGTGGGTGGAGAGGGGTGGCGGTGGAGGGAGAGGTAGGGGAGGTGGAGGGAGAGTGTAGGTGGAGGTGGAGGGAGAGGGTAGGTGGTGGTGGAGGGAGAGGGTAGGTGGAGGGGTGGTGGAGGGAGAGGGGTAGTGGTGGAGGGGGAGGGAGTGGTGGGGTGGCGGGGGAGGTGGAGGGTAGGGGTGGGTGGGGAGGGAGAGGTGGAGGTGGAGGGAGGGTGGGGGAGGAGGGAGAGGTGGTGGGAGGAGAGGGGGTATGGGAGGGAGAGGGTAGGGGTGGTGGTGGGAGGGAGAGGGGGTGGCGCTGGAGGGAGAGGGTGGGGTGGGTGGGAGGGAGAGGGGGTGGGAGGGGAGGTGAGGGGGTAAGGGGTGGGAGGGAGAGGGGTAGGGAGTGGTGGGAGGGAGAGGTAGGTGGGAGGTGGGAGGGAGGGGGTGGTGTGGAGGGAGGGTAGGGGTGGTGGTGGGAGGGAGAGGGTAGGTGGGAGGTGGGAGGGAGAGGTGGGGTGGCGGGAGGGGAGAGGGAGGGTGGTGGTGGGAGGGAGAGGGTGGTGGGAGGGAGGAGAGGGTAGTGGAGGTGGGAGGGAGGTAGGTGGTGGGGAGGGAGAGGGGTGAGGTGGGGGGAGGGTAGGTGGGGGTGGGAGGGAGAGGGTAGGTGGAGGGAGGAGAGGTGGTGTGGAGGTGGAGGAAGTGGGTAGGGTAGGGAGGGAGGAGGTGGTGTAGGGGTGGGAAGGGGGAGGGAAGAGGGGTAGGTGGAGGCAGGAGAGGTAGGGTTGGTGGAGGGAGAGGGGTGGTGGGAGGTGGGAGGAGGGGGGTGGGGGAGGGAGTGGGGTAGGGGTGGTAGTGGGAGGGAGAGGGTGTGGTGGTGGGTGGGAGGGGAGGGTAGGGTGGGAGGTGGTGGGAGAGGGTAGGGGTAGGGAGAGGGTAGGGGTGGAGGTGGGAGGGAGAGGTGGGTTGGAGGTGGGAGGGAGAGGGTGGTTGGGGGGAGGGTGAGGGGTAGGTGGAGGTGGGAGGTAGGGGTGTGGGAGTGGAGGGGTGAGGGTGGGTGGTGGTGGGAGGGGTGGGGGTGAGGGGAGGGGTTGTGGAGGTGGGAGGGAGAGGTGGGTGGGAGAGGTGGGTTGGGAGGGAGGGTGGGTGGGTGAGGGTAGGTGGAGGTGGGAGAGGGTAGGGGTGGAGGTGGAGGGGAGGGTAGGTGGGTGAGGAGAGGGTAGGGTGGGGTGAGGGGAGGGTAGGTGGGGGGGGAGAGGGTAGGTGGAGGTGGAGGTAGAGGGTTTGGGTGGGGTGGGTGGGGAGAGGGGTGGGTGAGGTGGGAGGAGGGTAGGGTATGGAGGGAGAGGGTAGGTGGAGGTGGGAGGGATGGGTAGGGTGGGTGGTGGGAGGGGTAGGGGTGGTGGAGGGAGAGGGTAGGGGTGGTGGGGGGGAGGTGGTAGGGAGGTGGGGGGAGAGGGTGGGTGGTGTGAGGGAGAGGTAGGGGTGGTGAGGGAGAGGGAGGGATGGAGGTGGGAGGGGAGGGTGGGTGGGAGGTGGGAGGGAGGGTGGGAGGTGGGAGGGAGAGGGGGTAAGGGGTGGGGGAGAGGGTGGGGTGGGAGGTGGGAGGGAGAGGGGTAGGGGTGGTGTGGGGAGAGGGTGTGTGGGAGGTGGGAGGGAGAGGTAGGTGGGTGGGGGGAGGGGTAGGGGATGGGGGAGGGGGGTGGGTGGAGGGGGAGGGGGAGGGTAGGTGGAGGTGGGAGGGGTGGTAGGGGTGGTGGGAGGGAGAGGTGGGTGGGAGGTGGAGGGAGAGGTGTAGGGGTGGTGGTTGAGGAGAGGTAGGTGGAGGTGAGGGAGAGGGGTGGTGGAGGTGGAGGGAGGTGGGGTGGCGGTGGTGAGAGGGTGGTGGAGGAGATGGTGAGGGTAGGTGGTGGGAGGGAGAGGGGAGGGGGTAGGTGGGGAGGGGGAGGGAGAGGGGTGGGTGGGAGGGAGGGGGTAGGGAGGGAGGGAGAGGGTAGGGGAGGTGGGGAGGGGAGAGGTAGGAGGGGAGGTGGTGGGAGAGGTGGGAGGGATGAGGGTGAGGGGAGAGGTGGGTGAGGGTGGTGAGGGGAGGGGGAGGGTGGGGTGGGAGGGGAAGGGGTGGTGGAGGGAAGGTGGTGAGGGGAGGTGGTGAGGGAGAGGTAGGGAAGGGGTGGGGAGGGAGAGGGTGGTGGGAGGGGAGGGGTAGGATGGAAGGTGGTGGAGGGAAGGGGTGGTGGAGGAGAGGGAGAGGGAAGGGGTGGGAGGGAGAGGTGGTGGGAGGGAGGGTGGTGAGGGAAGGTGGGAGGGGGTGGTGGGAGGGAGAGGTGGTGGGAGGGCTGGGTGGGTGGGGAAGAGGTGAGGGGAGAGGTGGTGAGGAAGGGAGGAGGGAGGGGGAGGGAGGGAGGTGGAGGGAGAGGTGGGAGGTGGAGGAGGAGGGGGGGTGGGAGGTGGTGAGGAGGGTGAGGAGAGGGGAGGGGGGAGGTGGTGAGGGAGGGTGGTGAGGGAGGTGGGGGAGAGGTTGGAGGAGAGGTAGGAGGGGAGAGGTGGGGAGGGAGAGGTGGGGAGGGAGGTGGGAGGGAAGGTGGGTGGGAGGGAGGTGGGGAGGGAGAGGGGGTGGGGGAGGGGAAGGGGTGGGTGGGAGGGAGGTGGGAGGGGAGGTGGGGGAAGGTGGTGAGGAGGTGGGTGGGGAGGTGGAGGGAAGGGGTGGTGGGGGAGGTAGGAGGGAAGGTGGTGAGGGGAGAGGTGGGGGAGGGAAAGGGGTGGTGAGGGAGAGGTGGGAGGGAAGGTGGGTGGGAGAGAGGTGGAGGGAGTGGTGGGAGGAGAGGTAGGAGGGAAGGTGGTGGAGGAGAGG